GGGCGGGTGGCGGTGCTGGTACCCCCGCGGTGGCTATAGGCCGGAGCAGCGCTAGCTGCGAGGGCCGCTTGAGGCTCCGCGGAGCTTTAATTGTTTTTATTATTTCACATGATTGCTACAAATGMTCATTTTGTACGTGCATGTGACTGAAGATGTTACTTACAGCTGCCAAACTTCAGTGGACAAGCATGAGCATCCATGGGGAAATCTTCTAGATGCATGGGACATTCAGCTCTAACTGTGAGCCTGAAAAGATTGACATAGGCAGTGATTAAGAAAAAAATAATGTGACAAACATCAAAGAAAATAAATCATGTGGCAAAGCACATGAAAAAATAAAAAGCACAGAGCGGGGTTCAAAGTGTTATACGGATGGGTCAGTTATTGGAACAAAGAACATGTGGTCTAATATTTCTTTCCAGTCTCACAGCACTGAAAGACAGTTCTGGCGGCTCAGTTTTTCCCCAAACAGAAATGTTCCAGTTCTCTGAGCTGTGAGCTTCTAGTTTTCTTTGCAGCTTGGTAGGAAAACAGCACGCCAGGCCACCCATGAAACACTAATCTCCCATCTAACCCTCATTTCACTCATCTGTGAMACCAATATAGGCTTTGCCTCTCCTCCTCCCACTCTTAGAAAACATGTGGAAACAAACCTTTTCAATCCTCTCMTCTCCTTGCATTCCCGTCCGTTAGTAATGTGCATCTGGCTTTTTACTGTCATGCACCACCCTCCACTTTCTACTAAATTCTACAACTAAGCCACAAGTATCTCTGATTGTACATTTTCTCCTATTGCTTGCAACATTTGGTAGCACCTTGAAAATGGCACATTGCTGGCTTAAAAAAATAACACTTTGACATTTAAGGTGAGCACTGTGTATGACATAYATAACAGTTTGTGATTGAAATTGCTGCGTTTAGGCTAAGACATTTGATGAAATACCATAATAAACTCCAAATGTAGCAAATCATCAAATCATATATATGTTAGTACAGTTGCTGATCATCAGCATAAAGTGGCACAGCATTAGTGGACCTGCAACTTTTAGTRATTTTGTTCAAACTGCATGTCCACCTTCTGAACCTTCCACATACAAGTGGTAGATGTTCTCAACCTACCTCATGGTATACAGCAGTGTGCCTTCTTCTGTAATCCGCAGCAGCTTATTTGGCATTGTCATGTTATGGGCCACTGACTTTTTGCCGTTGTGAAAGAAAGTGTCAGGGGTCCAGATCTTGCTGGCCATCAGGTTGTTGAGACGCAGCACGGCCATTGGACCTTTGAATTTTAGTCTTTCATCCTTCCAACTCTGTCTGAAGAACACATCGATGGTGTACTCCTACAGGTGAACAAGACAAAAAAAAAAATAACTATAGGCTAGATATTTTGTCCAATTGAAGTTTCATTTCAWTTTTTTCACATAACTGACTTGGAAAACATGCAGAGTAGTACACCCATAAATCTTGTTTTTTTTTTCCTTTTTCTTTTTAATGTCGCTTTGACATTTTTACAGTAATCTTAGCCCAGTTTACCCAGCTGGTGTCTATCTTATCAAGTCACAGGTTTTTGGTAAATAAAGTGAAAATCTTGGATATATATAAAGTGCCTCAACTAATGTGCAGTTTTTGTTCTCCAACATGTACATTAAAATATGAAGAGGTCATTTTTAATATCTGCATAATCATGGTCTGACTTTTTTATAACAAAAATGTAAACCCGGGGATTAATTAAATCAATTTTATTTGTTGTGTATAAGTGCAAAAAAGAAGTTAGCATTTATTTATAGGAAGCTATTTTCCTGAGCRATCACAATCAGACTTGACACAAAAAGAAAGCAAAGGACACAAAATTAGGAGGAGAATTCATTCGAAGCCAGCTAATGACTACAGCTGAAAAACAGTTTTTTARTAGTTCTGCATGACTGCCCACCAGAGTAAAAAGAGTCTGTAAAAAAGATTACAACAGCCAATTTTTTTGTTGGTTTTCCTCTTCTTCCACCGGGTTCTCGCAGATAATTAGTGTGAACTGAAATAGAGCTTGAAGGTAATGGAGGGAAATACGGAAAGGCCACAGATGGAGAAAATCTTCTTTAGGACTTCCTTCTAGCCTCAACAGAGCAGCAAAACAGTCCTGGTCTGCATGTCAGCCAGTGCAATTAACTGAGATTATGTCAAATGGAGTAGATGCACTTCATGTGCACATAAAAGGAGTGARTCATTTGAATGAGATTAATTGGTTTTTGGTGCACAGTGCAAGGATCAAATACTTATGTTTAAATGTCATGCAGATTTTTTGTCTATGCATGATGTAAAAATGAACAAGCATAAAAGCAATCATTCGTTTTTTTAATGGTTTAGCTTTTGAAATTCATCTGGTTTATAGCCAGCTGCTGGGACTGTATCACATCTTGGAAGAAAGATCTTCACACAAAACCAGGGTGAAGAAGGGTAAATTAGCTTGTTTATCTGTGCAAACAAAATAGGCTATAACCGGTTAAGCTCATTATTTATTCATTTATTAGCTTTTGCACTTGCTTTTTGACAGTGATATCTAGATTTTTCACAGTRAAACACATCATACATAACATCAAAGTGCTTAGGAAATACTATTTATGATGCTTATTTTGCAAGACAGCAGAGTAAAACATGGAGGTTCTTTTTTTAAAACCGTAGAACAAATAAATGAAAATTGATGTCAGAGTTTACAGTACACTTTGCTAAATCACATGCAGCAATATTTATGAGTATGGGTAGAACAAAGTAGAATGGAGTTCACCAATAAATCTGTTTTATGAGTGACAGGTTTATAAAAAAAAACAAAAAAAACACCATAAGTTAGTAACATTAATCACCCACTCCATTTAAATGTTTCAGCTTAGAGACAATTTTGTCCCGAGAGTTTAGAAGGCAAGTGTTAAAATAAAGGTAAGGGCACAGAGAAATGGGTGACATTTACACAGATGRAAAAAAAAAGTCTTACCATGTCATGGTCCGAAACTGGTCCGATACTAGTCACAAAAATGTCAGTCTTGACTTCAGTTACACGCTCTGTTGAAGCAGGAAATTGCCAAAGTGAGAGACTATCAGTGGCATTCATTAGCCTCCAACTACTTGTTAAAACTTTATTTGGTTGTAGCCTCTGCTCTTTACAGTGTAATTAACAGTGTGATTTCAAATAAATTTAAAAGTCAAATATAACAAACGTTTTTAATGCTGAGAACTTGTTTTTTTTTTTTTTTTTTTCATTGTTTTGCAAAGACAACACCTTTATCTGGGCAAAGATTATGCCTCTTTCTGATTTTATGCATTGCTTAAAACATACCACTTTTGCCATTKTGTTAGTCAACATGGGATCAATTAACTTAGAAGGGATCTGAATAAGGACTTGAGAGTGTGTGTCTGAAATTGTGTGTGTGTTGCGGGGTGGGGGGGGGTATGCGAAAGTTTGTTCCTTTTCACTGTCAAACTGAAATGTGACAGCATGATTTATGAATGATAGTCATCATAATCCATAATTTCTTCCCCTCAGCTGCTGAACTTCTAGCAGGCTTGGCTTTGTTCGCCTGCCTGTTTGACATCTGCTGCATCACACCACTTAATTCAGCACACCCTCCATTTTTTACATTGTGTCGTTCTTTTCTTTCAATTTGCTTTGTCTGTTTCTTTTTTCATATTTAGTTTTTTRGACTTACCTGCTAAACTTTTTTATTTTTTCCTCTAAACCTAACAATATATGATTGATGATAAAGAGGATAAAATATGTATTACAAAAACAGTCATTGAGATACGACATATAGACAAAAGTGTCACATAAATAGAGTCTCTGGGTCTTTTTTAGACATTTTTTGTTACCTTTAGGACAACATTTGCATATTTGAAAAAAAAAAGACACAAACAGCTTTCATGTGAGACAAAATATATTCAGTGACTCGGGTTTACTGACCTCCCAGTCCTGGCCTGAGGCGATTGTCATAGCCATCCAGTAGGCTGTCTAAGATCTTGGTGAACACTGTTGTGTTATCTTTCTGTTCATCTGTCATGCCGTTCTGCCCAGAACTGTCAAGCAAAGAAGATTTAAAGTCAGGGCTAGGGTCAAAGATTTCAGCCAAAAAGGTCCAGCAGAAAAACAAAACAGAAAAAAAAAAAAACATCTGAATCATGTGGCAAAAAAAGAAAACAATAAGAGTGATGCACTGCCAAAGTGCTTGAGCATTGCACAAAGTAACCTAAATCAGATTAAAACAAGAAAAATACATGCTAATTTTATTTACATTTCTTCTTGTGTGAACATGAGGTTTTAAAATATTTTAGCATGAGACAATTAAGCATGTCACTTTGTGAACCTAGACTAAAAAAAGGATCATCTCTTGCAATTTTTTCTCTACCATTTGTTTGAAGGAGCCATGTTTGTTATTTTTTATGTTCATTATGATTTAAAAATGTCTACAAGAACATCTCTATATTTTCATCTAAAAAAGGCACATGTGTGCATAAAAGCACAGACTCGCATGTTGGTACAATAGAAAGAGAAGWGAGTGAGACAGAAAGAAATCAAAATGCATTATTTATACTTTAATGCTGTCTTTCGAACAACAAAGGCCTTGCTGAATGTGCTCTTTGAACAACATGAAACAAAATGCTTAGAGCAATGCCCAAAACACTCACAATCCATAATTGTGAAAACTGTGCATGCAGCTCTGTGCATAAATATTTTAACTTCCTCCCAATCAGGGAAACAATCCCTAATTACATTATTTTAGCATAAAGGCAGGATATGACCCAACTGAGAAAGTGCTGCACAACATGTGAATTCAAATGAATACATTCACAGATGTTTGCATTTATACTGATGCTGATCAAACCCATAATGTGGCTCAATCATCTCCTTCTTTTTCATGGTGTAAAATTTAGTTTAATTGCTTGCAAAATAAGCAGCAAGTGTTTCGAAACAAGCTATGTTAGCTGAAAAGCTCCAAGGAGAAGGAGAGGTCATCAAGATTAGTTAGCAGGAATCTGCAATGGGAGGGAAGGAACAGTAGGAGCAAGAGGGGAAAGAACATCTGGTACAAGCACGAGAATTAAGCTCTGCAAAAAAAGATAACAGAGAAAAATGAGGGGCAGAAAAATTGGGGAGGTATGGTGTCAACACTGTTCAGACCATCACCGTGTGGAGAGAAGCTCCTCACGTTAAGGCAGCAGAATTGAGGCAGATCTCAAAGTTGTGAACAAAAGCTCCATACGTGAGGCTGCACCAGTTATGTCRCACATGGATTTGTATGAAAGGGTTCATGCACATATAACTCTCTTCCACCAATTATCTCCCTGTCTGCCAAAACAACAACAGCGACAACAACAAAATGATTCAAAACACAGCCAGCTCCAAAATGTGATGAGCATTTTTATTTTCTGTGTCATCCCTGGAGGTAGCTGCTTTGAAGCACTCAAACTTAAAACAATAATTAATCTTCCTCATTCAGATCTGGGAAGTTAATTATGTTATATATAAAAAAGGAAAACAGACATCGTAAATTGCATCCATAGGACGTCAACAGAGGCAAAAACAAAAATAATTCTTCTCTTTTCTGCCTTTGTAATATTCCAAGTGACTACATTCATGTGGGCCCTTTGAATTTCCCAAAAGGTAGCAATAGCAGGATTTTAATGAAGTATTTCCACAAAGTGGCATGCTTTTGTTTCCAGTGCAGAAAGCTAAATGTCTAGAAATTTCTAGTTTATTAAAAAAATTAAAATAATAATAGGTTACATTTATTTGAAAATGTGTGAAATAATGTGTGTTAATTTAATAATTAATTTAAAATATTAATGAATGAAACTCTGATAAAAGTACAAAAATATGATGCATTATTAGGTGAAATCTTGTAACATCTTGATTCAGAATATTTTTAAATGAGTTTACTAATATATTTTAATAATTCACATGGTTATATAGTTTTTTTATTATCATTGACAATAATTCTTAAACTGCGTTGTTAAAACAGAGGCTGGCATTTTTGAGTGTACATAGAAAATGTGCAGGATGGAGATTATGGTTTTAGGATAGGAATGAGAAAATAAAATGGAGAGAAGGAGGTTCTTTGGAAGACACACATGTTAATCAGCCAGAGGCTACTTCCATCCTAACCACTGTACACCATCCCCATCTACAGGTCATCTGAACACTCACGCTGCCATTGTCTCACACACTGTCCATATCGTTTAACTGTAAATCTCACGTTTGCTGTTTTTCCCACTCTCCTGACAGTCGTATATCTAGTTATGAGACAATTTCTTCTGTGGCTACATCCTGTAGCAGAGTGCTCGGTCCGCTCGATTATCACGTCTTGCCGAAAATCCCCAAAGGTGCATTCGGGAGTGTGTGTGATTCTGCATTTGAACTTCAAAAAAGACGAATGGATTATACAGTAAATCTTTTGGTGATAATTGCTTTTGAAGCTTGCCATGACAGTCCCTCAGCACTGTCACTGCAGCACTTCAATGCTTTGACACTCTCCCTAATGTACAGCTGATCAAACCCAGTAAATAAGATCTTCCATTTGCATCCAACAGATTGGGTATCTGCGATTAAGGACTTAAATCAAATTTATGTTCTGTAATGACACACATACACACATGCATTTGCATCTTCGACTCCAGACAAATGTCACCAGCATGTTCTCGTGGGATTTACACTGAAACGTGTATGGCACAAAGAATGGACTATTTTTGTGGCACAGCTGCTGAGACAGGCAAGCCGGACCATCTCAAGATGTCTTTGTGACAGTTACTGAATTATTCAACTGTAAGAAAAATCCAGATCCCCTTAGTTTCTTCAAGATTCTGCACAAGAACCACATAGTGACAAGATCTTAACTTGACTTTTTATGTGTTTGTGAAAGTGTAATAGACTTTTGGAATCCACATTTGTCCAATCATTGCTTTGAAAAAGACAACACATGAATGCCAACGTGGGATTCAAATCATGTGGGAATTATTGCAATTGCAATACATCTCATTGCTGTCATCTCTAATCCATTTTTTTTTCTTTTTTTTCTGTATTTAGGTAGCTGACAGCCTAGCTCTCCTTGATGGCACAAAGATGAAGTGTCTGTACATTGACTCTGCTATCCCTGCAGCCCCTGTCAAAACAAATGTGCAGCAACCTATGGCAAATATCCTAGTGCAACGCAAAAAAAAAAAAAAAAAACTACCCTGTGTAGCCCAGGTCTGGTAACTAACAAAGTAGATGTTTTCCCACATGGTTAGTGAACCAAAATAATAAATAAATAAAATGAAATAAAAAATAAAATGAAAATAAAAAGAAGAAGGAAATGTGTAACGCCTTGTGGCCATTTTGGAGCATCATTTCTTGTCCCCTTGTTGAAGTTATTTATTTATTTTTTACCTCTGTAATCATAAAGATGCAGGTGCTCCATGACCCACTTACAACTACAGTGTACATACCATGTACAATTGTAAATCACTCCTCACCCCCAAGCCCCAAAATAAAAGCGCCAAGCATGTGGCAGAAAGACAAACTGGCAGATGATTCACTGTTTGACTCCTTGGCTGGCTTTCCAGATTCACAGACATATTTACGAGTGAGTTATTCATTTAGCAGACTCCAGGTCCTGCATTAGAAGGTATATGTCCTCTATCAACAAAACATTTTGCTAGTTCGTGTGTTACAGCACAGAGCACAATAGGGTTACCTACATGGAGCTGAATCACACAGTAACACATTTGCTTCAGACTCTGTTTCAGGTTTTAAATTCGGCACATATTCATGTTTAAGTCTGCATGCATCCCTCTGTTAAATGGTGTTCTTACCTTTTCCCACCCATTACGGTGCTGGTGACAAGCAAGCAAGCCCACAGACCCAGAGAGGCTGCCCTGCTCGGTCCACACATAGCTGAAATATGAGGACCTTTCACTGCTGGAGGTTAAAGACAGAGAAAACGAACATCACCACCGTGTCATATGGGCCTGTACATAGTCACCCCCAATATTTCACATTGTAAAAGCGCCAACACATGATGTGCTGAAAGGAAAGGAGCACATGGGGATGAAGAGGCTGTCTTTTTTTTTTTACAAGCAGCTTCTGATCTTGGATTTAAATTCACTGACAGCAAGCAATTCAAATACACCCCCCTCAATGCCACTTGGCACACACAATATCCATCATTGCACATCATTCCTTTTAATTGGATGCCATATTGACAAAAGCACATTCACTCTAACTTTAATGGGAGGACCAAATCTGAGCTGCTCAACGTTTTCGATGAGCACGCAGAGGGAGGACTGTGTGTAAAGGCACTTTCAGAACAGACGCTCGGAGCATACGGTGTGGCTGCATCTGTAGCGCATAATGATTAGGAAGGAAATAACAAGGCAACACACCATCGAGCACATACAGCACCCTGTAAGAGCGTGTAGCACCTGTGAACATCCCACTCTGATACTCTGCAATGTGAAGCGGCGGCAGCACCGCACCAAGCCAAATCTCCTCTGAAATAAGACCATCTCCTTCCAGATACCCTGAGCCATGATGTCAGCTGCGGCTCACAGCGCAGGCAAGCAACATTCACCGATTTTATGCCAGCAAACGCTAAAATCCACAATCCATTTCGGAAAGCATAACCTATGTGTCCACGAGAGGGCCAGCTGCTTAATTATAAAACAAGCGCTTATAAAACAGCACACAGAGCTCCGATCACTTGCCTGTGGTGTTTCAATGTGGAGGACGGTTGGTTTAAAATGCTCTGCTCRGCTGGAATGAAAATAAACCTCTCACTTGACAGGGATTTAATAAAGCGAGGATGATGAAGATTAACGAATTGGGGAGAAAAAGAAAATCCCTCACAAGCAGACTTTCTAAGTTATTCCGGGGTGGAAGGAAAAGGAGGGGGGTGGGTGTCAACCTCTGCCCGACAACATCCGAATATATTAGAAGTGAAAATGTTGCATGCGGCTGGCATCCCTACAAGGCTGGTCTAAATACAAGCGTGACGATCCGTGCGTGGCGGAGTAATTAAGCAAATGTGCGCTGATGCTATCCGTGGTGCTGAAACCAGGCTGGGCTCCCTCCCGTTAAAGCGGCTCGTGCCATAAAATACCCCCTTAAACGGTGCTAATTTGTGGGGGGCAAAGTCACCCCCCCCCCTCCCCCCCAGTAAAACTCGTGCCTTGCGGTGTCCAGTGACATAAAGTAACACCTCTCGTTAAACGCGGTTGTTTATTTTTTTTTGTTTCCTCTAGCAGAAAAAAAAAGGCAAGAAAATGAGGAAAATCACTTACAGCAGAAGAGCCAGGGCATTTTAGATGTCGTCTTTTTATATCCCCCGAACTTTTTGCGAATATATATTTCCCCCACTTTCTAGACGGACTAAATGAGGGGGGATAACATCCTCTGTGATCTCAGATCTGACGAATTTGAGCTTGAGGCTGGAGAAGCGGCTGCTGACGATATGCGCAGGTCTCTCTCACTGTTCATTGGGTGGCTGTGTAGTGAGTTCAACTCTCAGCCTGTCAGCAACAGAAATGTCTCGCTAAACTAACAAATCTAGCTCAGGCACCTGGATGTTCTAGTCTATCGGACCCCCCCCCCCACCCCCCTCCACAAAGCGCATCTCGTACATCAGTCTGTCCAAGCACAGATTATTTCATTTTAGTAGGCTGTTCAAACGTAATATTAAGGCAAGCCCGCCCATTTTATATGCAGCGCAATTTACCTACTCTGCTGTCACCCTAAATAAAAAAAAGGGGGGGGGGGGATCCTTACATTTTCACCCTCTTGTTAGCACCTACTTACGCGTTATCGGTCCCCGACTCCTACGTGATGATCCCCAATAAGATAACGTTGACCATCGTTTCATTTGGGTGAAAAGACAGACCGTCTCGCCACCATGGCAGCTAAAAGCATCGCTCAGTGAAACGAACAGCGAGCATAAAACAGAACAGTAAGTACTTACAATGAGGCGAGAGGCATTAAACACAAATGGATGAAGCGCACACAAGCTGCAAGCTGGGAAGGAGAAAAAAATGACAGCAATCTCCAGATTTTTTTTTCTTTTTAGAAAATCGTATCTGCTCACCAGCTTTGCACTACCGAGCCCAACCTCTTTTGCGCAATAAAAAAAAAAAATCCTCCTCGGAATCACTCACCGTCTCCTAAAAGCCCAAGTTTCGCATGGAGACAGCAGCGCTGTGTCTCTGTTTACAGCCAAATATTCTGCTGCCACAGCCGCGCCACTTCAGACTGAGCACAGAGCCGAAAGGAGCGCTGAGCTGCGTGCATCTGCAAAGCAGGAGGGGGGAAAAGAAGAAAAAAGAAGCGGGGGGTTTATGATACGCGGCGCATATTTCTGTAGTCATCTGCGTATTTTTCTAAGTTAGACTACAAATCAGAGGACACTCTCGCCAAGGCTTGTAACAGAGGGCAAACATAGACAGAAAGGACATTCTTATTGACACTATACATCAAATCAGGGTCATKTAAGATCATATTTATTAGTCCAGAGCTATGGATAGAATGTTTTCTGACAGAAGAGGAACTCAGTTTTTACAGCCTTAATTTGAGTTTATTTTCATTGAAGCAGGCAGAGTGAGCTGGCAGCGAAGTCACGTCAGTCTGGTCTGCAGTGCAACGTTTCCTCTGTGATCGTGTGTTGCCTCCTCACGCGTGGTTAAAGTAATGCATGCGCGTGATTAGTTATGAGGGACGTCACGGGCTCATGCCCCCCTAATRTACCATCTATCTACATTTATCCGATCTATCTACCCATGTATTTATCTACCAATTTATCCTTCCATCTATCTTTCTATCCAGCCATCTCACAAACTTTTCCTTTTCTTGCGCTCTTCTCACGCCCACTCTTAACCTAAAGCCGCAGGTGGGTGTGCATATTTATGAATATAATAGCCACACCAACCCTACCCCACCCAGCTGTGTCTGTAGAATTACTGCCACTCTAACGCAAGTAGAGCCTCCCGTAGCTGCACCCCCTGCAAATCTCCGCCGCTGCATGTGACTCCGCTCGCCTGTGCGCGCACGTGCACGCGTGCCCGTACAACACGTGTCCGCGTTGCCAGTGGTTTGGACGCACGCGCTTGTGAATGAAGCGGTAAAAGCTGAGAGCTAAGCTTGTAAAAAAAAAAAAAGGCGCCGCTGCTGCGCGCGTCATCCTCACGCTGCTTTTACCTTACTGTTTCTGACAAAAATAGGATATTTCATTTGTTTATTTATTTCAATAAGAGACAGTTTCGTCAGAGTGCAGGTGATCCAAACACATGCACAGCTTCATCTTTGGGCAGGATATTGGGAAAGAGAAAGTGTGCGCGCGCAGGCGTGTGTGTGTGAGAGAGTGCTGGACTAAAGAGAGAGAGATGGATGACGGTAATTTAGGTGAGAGATGTGCAGGTTATGGCAAAATAATCACTCGCTGCGTGAAGAGTGCCTTTGAATTGTGATGGAAAGGATATTGACTAACAACGCCTCCTCCCTTCTGTTTCTGCGTCTATTTTGTGTCCATTATTACTGATTCTTGGTTTGTTTTCACACAAACTTAAAGAACCAACTGCTGTGGATTAGCTTTCATTGTTTAATCAATGCCACATTAACAGAAGTTCCCAACCCACTGCCACGTTTGTGTCTTCTCTCATATTTCATCTAAAACTGTGTGTGTGCGCAATTTTACGATGCAGTTTGCAAGTGTGTGTTTCTGAAAGTGTTTGTGCAGACACATTGTACTTGGTGTCTTGAAGCCATGCAAGTGCAGCTATAAATCTTGAACATTTATGTTTTAGAGTGTTTTGTCAAGCTCTTAAAGCACCAAGACGTTTAATACCCCTGACCCTCAGAGATTTTACTGAACTTGGTTCAGTGGACCAAACTCCTGACTCATGTGTGTGTTCATATGTGTGATGGGTTAAATGCAGAGACTCAAATTTCCCCTTTGTGGGACGATAAAGGGTAATAAATAAAATCTTGACAATGGCRTGATCCTTACATCTCTGCCTACCATCATTGCCTCGGGCCGAAATGCAACAGATGGTGTTTCACAATTGGAGAAAATTGTGGGGAGCAAAAACTTTCCCAAATTATATAAGCCAACATCACAYTTTCACTGAGTTTGGGTCCATTCAGTACTTCTTTGTTTAGTAGGTAAAATAAGGCATAATTTTCCTTGGCTTTYGGCAATCAAGGCTCCAGCAGGGCATAAAGGGATAAGAAGCAACCCAAGTGCAATACTTCAGTTCAATTACGGCAGTGAAGTTTGATTTGCACTTGCYTTTTATACCTCTTTGGCTTCACAGTGTCACTGGTTTGAAACTTAACTGTTGCTCTTACACTTAAAAGTATCTAATTTCTAATAAAACAGCTCCTCTGGTTTCATTTTTTTTCCCAGAAAGTATCACAGCCACTTATGCTGTACATAAAACCTCAATCAAATGGAACAAGKAAAGAACTAGAGAGGACCAGGATGYACTAGTCAGATACRAGCATGRCCAAAYTRCTGAGCACCTGTCGTTCTACGGTTTTGCTASAGTGGATGCAAAGTCATTGTGACGGCTGGCTGCAGTTCCCATCCTGCAGAGCATTAGAAGTGACTTGCTTCAATCAGTTGTCCYGAGGAACAAATCAGGCTGCTACAAAAGACAGAAGCAGGCTCCCCCTCTGTGAGCTGCTCTATGCAATCAGCAGAAGTTGGCATCTACTCTGACTCATTGCTTGAGGTCAAGTCCAGTGTGATGCAGGTATGCAGAGGTGCATACACATACAGTATATATTCATCAAGGCCAGCACACACAGATATTCTGTACACAATACATTTATATACTTGTGCGCTTTAATTTTTTCATGTGGAAATGCTGCATAAATTCAGACATTGTGCCAAAACAAAACAACAAAATATTTAAAACATGGTCACTGGACACCTAAAAACATCATGCCAGTCATGTTAAGTTGAGTAAACTGTCATGAGCCTCCTTATTTTGATCATTTTCCACYTCATTGTAAATATTTTACAGACACAGCTGCTATTTATAAATACACTAGTAAAACAGCACATTATGGTGAAGAAATTTACTGGGGTTTGCTTATATACTGATCTTAATTACACTACACATGGTATAGTCTTATTATTAGGGGAACTGTAATATCTGTTAAATGTGATTATGTTGCTTAAATTGATGATATGTACATGCCTGAACACAGATTCAACACATAAATGAAACGTTAATCTTCATTAGGTCAGATTATATTGTCTGAGGACAAGACTTCAGCAATGTGAGGGGCCCCATCATGTCCTGAAGATCCTGTTATATTGAACTGACTTCCAGAAAACGTAGACCAATAAACTGCCTCCAAACTGAGATGTTCTCTGTGTGGGTTGTATGAACTCTTTCACATTCACCTGCATCGGATGTTGTCAGTCCATTAAATGGACGTTATTAGAAGCGGGTGTCACATTCAATTTTTTTGTCTGGTTCAAGCACATAACATGGTAAACAAACACACTGAACAATATTTTTAATTCAATTCAATTCAGTTTATTTATATAGTGCCAAGTCACAGCATGCGTTGTCTCAGGGCACATAAAAAAGAACACTGAAGAAGTTGAGTTGACCGACTCCTTCCCAGTGACACTTTTGTCATGTTGGCAGGTAGGTGTGACCCATAGGAGACAGACCTCATGAC